GTACAAAAATGTTCATTGCAGGGGCACCTGGGCGGCTCAGTCGGTTAAGCATCTGACTCTTGATCTCAGCTCAGGTCTGGATCTCAGGGTCATGAGTTCAAGCCCTGCATTGGGCTCCATGCCCACACTGGGTATGCAGCCTACATACATACATAAATATGTTCCTTTCGACAAAACAACCAAATGTCCACCGACAGTAGAATGGATAAGTTATGGTATATTCACATAACAGAATACAGCAATGAGAAGAAACAAACTACAACACAATAAGTGTTAATCTCGTAATTGTAATGCTGTGCAGAAGCAGCTCAAATTCAGATATACTTTATGATTCTATTTCACGTAGAGTTCAAAAACAGACAAAACTTTTCTACTGTTAGAATACAAGGAACACAGTAAGGGTTGGGGATTCCAGTACTGATATGTTTCTTGAGCTGTGTGCTGATTATATAAATGTGCTTATTTTGTGAAAATTCATCTAGTTGCACACTTTCCTATATGAATGTCACACTTCTTTAAAAATCTTAGATAAAATGGGGTCCCAACTGGTGATTCAGGATTTCTAATCCTTTCCCACCAGCAACATTCTTCACCCATACTATACTCAGAGATTTAACTAGCAATGGTCCTTTATCACCGCCACCGCTCTTAAGGATTGAAATAATCAATATCTTTGTTCCTATTTACTTTATGCCAAGCACTTTAACATTCATTCACTCAAATACTAATTGAATACCTACTATGTACAAAATCTGGGCTGAGTACTTAAGGTACACCAAATGAGCAAGACATTGTTCCTAGCCTCAAGGAGTTCTTAACCTTATAGAAGACCACACATACAGGGGGGCACCTGGATGGTTCAGTCAGTTAAGCATCTAACTCTTGGTTTCGGTTCAGGTCATGATCTCATGGGTCATGAGCAGGGAGTCTGCTTGAGATTCTCTCCCTCTGCCCCTCCCCTCACTCACATGCACACTGTCTCCCTCTTTCTCTAAAATAAATAAATAAATCTTAAAAAAAAAGAAGACAACCACACATACAGATAACCAAATGAATGTACAGAGGTACACATAGAACATTATGGAAGTACAAAAGGAACAGTGAAAACAGCCTGGGAGAGGTCAGGTATCAGGACAGCCTTCGTGGAGGTATGAACACCTGAGTCTTTAAAAGGGTAGGAATTATCCAAGCAAAGTGCATTCCAACAGAGCAAAGAGCTTGAGTAAAAAAAGCACAGTGTATTTAAAGAAACAATTGCAGTGGCTACATGGTAAAAACAAGCACTGGGATGGGGTTAAGAAGGAGTTGGCCAAAGAGATAGGAGGATGCCAAGTCATGAAGAAACTCAGACCTTTTCCAACAGGCAAGATGGGTCAGTGAGATTTATGCAAAGGAATTAGTGGTCAGACAGATTATTCAGGGAGCAATGTAGAGGATGAACTGAAGGAGGATAAGGCTGGCAGAAAGAAGGCTGGTTAGGACGCAGTTATAACTGTCCTGACAGAAGATAATAAGAGCCTGAAATGAAATAAAAGCTATAATAAATATAGAGAAAATACAGAGTACAGATACATTATGCTGCTGGTCTAGAGATCACACTTTGAGAACCACTAGCCTATGCTAGAGGTCAGCATATTTTTCTGTAAAGGGCCAAATAACAAATATTTTAGGCTTTATGGGCCACAGGCGGTTTCTACTGCACTTCTCGGTTTATGCTTGTTTTTTAAACCCTTTGAAAATTAAAAACCGTTCTTAGCTAGTAGACTTGACCAAGATAAAGGCCGCAGGCTGGATCTGGGCTGTGGGCATAGTTCGTTGATCCCTGCTATACACAGGTAAAGAAGTGAGGATTAACCTTCCTAGGAGATTAAAATGCTACTCCCATATTAGTTCCCTACTCAGAAACTTTTCCCTTAGTCCTGACTGCCTACTGAATAAGTCAAATCACTACGATGCATAGCACTCATAGGCATCCGTACTCTCTAGCACCAACATACTACTCCAGTCTCAAGAACTATACCCCAGTCTGAACCTTCCATTCTTATTAAATTGACCTACTTACATTATTTGCCTCTGTATGTTGTGGTGTTCCCCAATGTTCTTTTCTAGTCTCTAACCTACCTGAATACCATTCCTTCAAAGCACAACTCAAATCCTACCCTGAAGTGATTCCATAATCCTCAGAACTCCTAAAAACACTATCTCAATTTATCCAAAATTTATTTGCTGTCTTATGACTTACTTCAAATAAACTGTAAATTCTTTGAGAACAGGGAATAATTTATACTTCTATCAAAAGATCTAGCATATAACAAGAGATAAATAAACGTGAAGACCTACATGTGTATACATACGTAACATATATACTTACACACACACACTTTTTTTTTTCCTGAGCTAGCTATGTAACTGAAGCAAATGTGATTTCACCCTTACTTATAACAGTAACCGAATACTTTAATTCTATGGACATGATCTGAATGCTGTAGGAAGGATAGAATGACAATCCACAATCACATCTGTCTCTCCTATTACTCAAGTTTTTAGGGCTAGTTCACTAGGGGAAACAATAACACAAGTAAAATTTTTCCAATGGCCAGTGTTATCAACGTAGGTACACTGGGATAATGTTAAATAAGTTACTAGACCAAGTCAAAGTTTACTTACCTATTTTTACTTCACTTATTTTTAAAATACAAAATAACCTTTTACAACTACATTGCTTTAAATTCACCCTTATTACTTAAGTTTAAAATCACACATATAGACACACACACACACGCCACACATGCTTTGAATTTTTTTAACAATAACATTCTCTATAACAATTCACATTATCAAAATGGCATTACTGATTTCATTGAGAATTTAGGGAAATAAGATTGCATTTCAAATTTTTAAGAGAATAGTCCATTTTAGGAATTGTTGAATCACTATACTGTACACCTGAAACTAATAAAACACTGTAAAAAAATTGTGCTTACACCAAAAGAAAAAGAAAATAGTTCATTTTCATTCACTACTAATAAATAGCTGTAATCAGAGAATGTTTTGAGCTGGATTAAAGGTTTCTTCTTATAATTGAGAACATTACTGAAGACGTCTTTTCAAGTCCAGTGTGAACCATGTCTTATTTTACTACCCTAAGAATATTCAAGAATCTATAAAAATTCCTCCAGAATCATTTGCCCAAATTTCAAGGCAAACTACATAAAAAAGTATAAAACACTTCTAGAAAGATATAGAAAACAAAACCAAAAGAAATAAATCAAAAGATGGCCATGAAAGTGAAAACTGAGACTTTCTAACCCTTCAAAACACATTGAAGGAAGCAGCTTAGTGACTTGTAACCCAGAAAAGACAATTATGCATTGATAAATTGAATATTAATAATGCACTTAATGGAGGACAAGCCCAGGAGCCAGGGACTCCCATTTCTCAATTCCTGTTCTGCCACTGGCTAGTACAGAGTCTTGGGCACATCCCCATAGGTTAAACAAGAAAAGCTTTACTGACATTCTCAGGCTGTGGGAATTGATTAAATGTTTATGAAGTACTTTAGGACCATGACGGAAAGCCAAATATCATTTGCTTAGTACAAAACGACAGCTACCTGTTAGGCTTGCAAATCCAATCATTATGATTCTTTTTTGTCTTCTTAACATAGCAAATCTTCAGTAAGTCAGTAAAGTGCATGTATTTATGAGCCCGTTTAGTAACTTCAGAGAAATGAATTTTCTTCCAAATCTTTGTTGTCTCACAAACCATGTCACTACCCAACCCAACTATTTGCAAAAGGAAATATGATGCGATCCACATTAAAGTTAGGTCCAGCTATTGATAAGGCAATACCAAATGACTGAAAACTACTAGGAATCACAGTGGAACTTTCTTTGTTAACTTACCAGAAATGTGACTCCTGAAAGTAATCCCAGAAAACAGTCGTCCTAACAAAACGTTTATTAAAGGGAAAGTCCGTAGGCTTTCTTACATAAAGAGCTCTAAAATGTTTGTAGACAGTGTCGACAGAAGACTAAATTCGCTCAGACCCTAATCTAATTCGTTAGGTAGTTCCAGCACCTGCTTGGTGTTGAGCGACTGGAGACTGGTGAGCCTGCCGAGCAAAAGTGCTGATGCCATCTCCAGCTGCCCCTTTCCGTGAATGACAGTAACAATGAAAACACTGACAAAAGAGCTGGGAGGCCACCCCAAGCCACTGCTTGGCAATACTTCTACCCTACCCCCAGCATACACGAGCTACAAATCCCAGAAAAGGCCCTCCTGCAACAGATCTCACAGGCGGAGACCCTGTCTCTAGTGTGGCAACGGGAAAAAGTACTACCCTGCACTCCTTTCCAGACAGCTGAGCACCTTAAAGGTGAGGGGAACGCTGCCTCTTTCTAAACTGCCAGCGGAAGAGGGAGAAGACTTCCTCGCAGGAGACGGGTGAGCAGAATCGGCCGTGCACACTGCCAGACCGAGAACTGCCCGGGTCGCGGGCGCCTCTCGGACCGCCGGCGGGGAGCAACCGCGAGCACTGGAACGCGCGTCCCTCCCTCGGCTCCGGGTGGGGGAAGCCGGGCTCGGGCGCCGGGCAAACCGTCCTCCCGGGGGTGGCAGCGCTCGGCCGCCCGCTTCCCGGGAGCTGGAGGAGGCGACAAGTAGGCTCGGGTCCGGGAGCACCGGGAGCACATTCTTGCCTCGAGCCTGGTCCCGAGGGAGGGCGCATGCTGCCAAGGCGGTGACTCTCCCTCTCGCCCAACTCCGGGGTGAGCGAGAGGGCGGCCGGCCCCGGGATGCCCGGCGGGATGCCACCCGGGTGGGGGAGGCGGCGAGGTCGGCCTCCGGGCCGCTCCCTCCCCACGCGGTCCGCGGCAGGCGGCCGTCCGCGCCCTCGTCCCTCCCGCCGCCGCGCGGGGCCGGGCCGCCGACCTCGGCCGGCCGGGCGCGGGGCCAGGCGGCGGCGGCGGGCTGACGGGCCGGCCGGCCTGGGGCCCTACCTGAGGCTGTGTACCAGCTCCCGGCGTGACTGGCTTCCCGGCAGACCACTCGGTTGGACATCTTGGTGCCTGTGCCGCCTATGGTGCACGAGGATGAATGAGGAGGCGGCGGCGGCGGCGGCAGGAGCGGCTCCGCGAGGGGACGAGACACCGCGGGCCCAGCCCAGGAGGAGGCGGCAGCGGGGAGGGGATCAGCCCGGCCCAGGAGGAGGAGGAAGAGGAGGAGGCGGCGGCCCAGGAGGAGGAGATGGCAGCCGGGGCGGTGGCGGCGGCAGCAACAATCACCACAAACTCCGGCCACCGCCGGAAGATGGGGCCCGCGGCGGCTTCACCGAAGCCCGGAAAGCCCTGGCCCCGGCCCCCGGACTCGCCGCTGCTCCCCAGCCGCGGCTGGTTCCGCCGAGCCGCCCCCACGGCCCCCCCCCCCCCCCGCTGGCCCCCCCCAGCCACCGCCGGTGACCCCACCCCCGTGACTCCGCGCCCGCCCCCTCCCCCCACCCCCCGCGGGACTCCCCGCACCCACCCCCACCCCCGGCAGGGCCCTCCTGCCCGCCCGGCCGCTGGCCCGCGGGCCCCGCCCCGCCCCGCTCCTCCTCCAGCCGCGCGGCGAGGTTAACGGCGGAAACCGGACAGGCCAGACGGCATCTGGGGTCGGGCGGCCCCGCGAGGAGGCAGCGGCGGCTACAGCTCCGCTCACACAAAAGCCCAGGGCCGGGGCCTGAACCGGGGAAGGCAGACCCAGAGAAGAGCCAACGCTTCCTTACTCGCCACTCTAACGGGTCCTGCCCACTGAGCATGCCCAGCAGCCGCTGCCAGGCCCGCCGAGGAATCTCAACGTGCACGCTCCGCTCTCCGGGGTTTAGCGGCAGCAGAGGCTGGGGGGGGGGGGGGGGGGGGGGGGGGGGGGGGAGCAGGACGCAGCCGCAGGGCAAGCCCCCTCCCCCAGCCAACTTCCTTAAATGAAGAGCACCGAGGGCACGGCGATGCGGCTTTCCACGAGGACAGTCTAGCTTGTCCTCTCCGACCTCATCATACACACGAATCTTTGCTGGCTTCACACCCCCAAGGTTTCACTCCTAGGGATGCAAGCCTGTGGCCACGTTGAGAAGTTCATTTGTAGAAACAGGCACACCTTAGTGTGCTTGTGGTCCCCGCAAATGCTAGTTTTTGCTTCACTGGGCCACCTTTACCACCTAATCTTGGCTTTGACACTGTAAACATTTATCTTGTTTCATTTTATACGGACGTAGGTGCATTGTCTTAACCCCCTAATTAGATTCAAGTGTGATATAGCTAGCCTGTAATTCTCATCTGTGAAGAGGGGATAATATATTCAAGGGGTGTCCCTAGGATTACAAGAGTTAATAAATGTAGAGCCTGACAGTATGCATACAATAAACATTACTTCCAACCCTTCCTTCTCTTATAAATCCCAGTATTTCACATTAGTGTCAGGAACAAAGAATTCCTTTAAAATTATATAAGAATCACAGGAAAGTAGGATATCTTGGACCTCGGAGGAAGTGTTGTTATGAAGTAGATCATTCCAAAACTGGACAGAAAGAGAAACTTGCATGTCTTCAATGAAAGATTTAAGGTTAGAACCATAAAATTGTTATATCTGAATTTCATACTAAACATCGTTGGTAGAGTTCAAAGCAGGTATCTGGCTGCCTAATACTCAAGTTTCCCTAGTGCCATAAGATACATTTTTTTTAGGGGCGCCTGGGTGGCTCAGTCGTTAGGCATCTGCCTTCGGCTTAGGTCATGATTCCAGGGTCCTGGGATCGAGCCCCGCATCGAGCCCCGCATCGAGCCCCGCATCGAGCCCCGCATCGAGCCCCGCATCGAGCCCCGCATCGAGCCCCGCATCAGGCTCCCCGCTAGGCAGGAAGCCTGCTTCTCCCTCTCCCACTCCCCCTGCTTGTGTTCCTGCTCTCGCTATATGTCAAATAAAATCTTTAAAATATATATATATATATATTTTTTTTTTTTTTAATTTACTATCCTGTTCCCACCCCTCCTCCATCTTTTTCAACGTTAAGCCCCAAGGATCTTGTGTGAGATCCCAGGCCTAAAAGCCTGGTCAATTACTGGAATACTTCTGGCTTTCACACCTTTTTCTACACAGTTATTAAATATCCACTGACATGTATTTCTTTACTCAAATTTTAACCCTCTCACTTCACCACTAACCTGCCGAAATATTACATATTATGCAGAAAAAAAAAAGATGTGCCAAATAGTCGATTTAAAGATAACAAAAAGGAGGGTTGCAGCTAATTCCACGGAACTCTTCCTGGAGCCCCAAAAGTCAGTGGTAAATGATGGCACGGTAAACTGGTAAACTTTTCATCATAAATTTCAAGAAAAGGAAAACTGTTGATATGGTTGATGTGGCATTGATAAGCAGTGATAGCTTTTGAAGTTAATGATTCCTGATTCTGTTTCTATACCCAAAAAAAGCATGGAAGGAACACTGAATACAATGAATTTCATAATTCAGGCTGGTCAAATTAGAAAATCAGATTTGAGTCATGTCTCTCTGTCCCTCACCAGCAGTGATCATGGGCATCTCATATGTAACCTTTTCAAGCCTCAGTCTTCTCATCTGTCAAATGCAAAGAGTAATAATATCTAACTCACAGACTTGCTGGAAGAATCATTAAGTAAAGTGAAAATATTCTGAAAACAATTTATAAGCTGTTCTTTGTTTCTTCTTATCATTATCCTCTGCTCCTAGCAACAATCCTAGGAACTCATTCCAAACTAGTAACCTAATTTAAATTTAAGCTTCCTCCCTATGAAAATGCTCTACAGGAGGCTTCTTTCCCCAAAGGATTTTTCTTACTGGTCAAACTCAGCAAAGACCAAAATGCCAAGAAAAGTGAAAGGTGTTGCTGTTGTTGTTTTAAGATTTTGTTTATTTATTTGACAGAGACACAGTGAGAGAGGGAACACAAGCAGGGGGAGTGGGAGAGGGAGAAGCAGGCCTCCCGCAGGAGGGAGCCCAATGCAGGGCTCCATCCCAGGACCCTGGGATCATGACCTGAGCCAAAGGCAGACACTTAATGACTGAGCCACCTAGGCGCCCCAAAAAGTGAAAGGTTAAAAAATCTATTATCTCTAGAATGCTCTCAGTATATCCCATCATTGTTCCCTCTGTCATCTTTTTTTAGCTACCTTATTCAAGGATAGACTCTTGAAAGAAGTATGTTGAAACTATTCACTTACCTCCCCTAAATTAATGGAGACCCATATAATGCAAAATACTCATTTCATATCCCAGGAGAAGCCTATTTGGTAATATGTACAATTCCCATATTATTAACAATTTCCATTATATCCACCAGGGATTTGGGTTTGACACTCCATAAACATCAGTCATAGCAAAAGGTAAGGAGGAATTCCTTACTAATAAGAGTCCCTATAAAGCAGACTTTAATAAATAAAGCACCACTAGTCCCAGAAACCAACATATGTTCTGAAAAAGCATGTCCTATATTCACTGCATCAGTCTATATTAACAAACAACTAGCACAACCACGATATCCATCAATATGAGACTTGTTATGTTGGCACCCATTAAAAACAATAAGCTCTAAAAAAGAGCCAAAAAAAAAAAAGGCAGGTTGCAGAACAATATGTAAAGCATGCTACCATTTGTGTAAAAATGAATACTTTAAAAAAAAAATTTTTTTTGCATATACACAGAATACTTCTGGAAGAAAACACAATAAATTGGTAAAAGTACTTGTTTAGGTGGCTGAGGTGCAAGGATGCACAAAAGATTTAAAGTTTTGTGTATCTTTGGAATTTTGTGCCATACACATATGGTACCTCCACACACACACACAATACATCTTTAGGCTTGATTTTTGGAATCCACATGGCAATATTAAATTGACCATTTTTATAATTTACTTATCCACAGCAGACAGCTTGAGGAGTCCACTAATTACTAAAAGCCCTATATCCAAAAAATATTCTAGAATAAAACCACAGAGTTTTGAAAAAATCAAAGTTGAGAGACGAGTTTAGCATAAAGATACTCTTTTGATTTCAATTAAAACTGGTACTCTAGGGCGCCTGGGTGGCTCAGTTGGTTAAGCGACTGCCTTTGGAGCGACTGCCTTCGGCTCAGGTCATGATCCTGGAGTCCCGGGATGGAGTCCCACATGTCTGCTTCGCCCTCTGACCCCCCCCCCATGTGCTCTCTCCCTCATTCTCGCTCTCTCAAATAAATAAAATCTTTAAAAAAAAAAAACTGGTACTCTAAGAAAGACAAATACCATTATGATTTCACTTACATGTAGAATCTAAAAAACAAATGAATAAATAAAAAAGCAGAAACAGACCCATAAATACAGAGAACAAACTGGTGGTTGCCAGAGGGGAGTGGAGGTGGGGAGGGGGCGGGGTATGACCAAAAATTGGTGGAGAGTGGGAAGTGCATCTTCCAGTTATGGAATGAATAAGTCACAGGGTTGAGAGGTACAGCACAGGGAATACAGTCAATGGTATTGTAATAGCGTTGTATGGTGACAGATGGTAGCTACACTTGTGAGCACAGCATAACTTACAGAGTTATTGAATCACTATGTTGTAAACCTGAAACTAATGTAACATTGTGTCAACTATACTTCAAATAAAAAATAAATAAAAAATAAAAAAAACTAGGGGCGCCTGGGTGGCTGAGATGGTTAAGCGTCTGCCTTCAGCTCAGGTCATGATCTCAGAGTCCTGGGATCGAGTCCCGTCTCCGGCTCCCTGCTCACTGGGGAGTCTCCTTCTCCCTCTCCCTCTGCCTCTGCCGCTCCTGCTTGTGCTCTCTCTCTCTCTCAAATAAATAAAATTAAAAAAAAAAAAACTGGTACTCTAGTGTCAAGTTTGCCCTTCCATTATAAGCCAAACTTAATAAGTAATATTTATTAAACACTTAACTATGTATCTGACACTGAGCTAAGTACATATTTAGTGATTCTTATTAAGATAAAAATTTGTTCACTTCCAATTTTTTTGAATAAATTTTATAAAACTTTTTTCATATTTATTGTTAATATTATTTAGAATCCCCAGAAATGAAATAGCAGAGTTAAAAGATTTTTAAGTTGGGCACCCGGGTGGCTCAGTTGGTTAAGCGGCTGCTTTCGGCTCAGGTCATGATCCCAGCGTCCTGGGATCGAGCCCCGCATCGGGCTGCCTACTCAGCAGGGAGTCTGCTTTTCCCTCTCCCACTCCCCTGCCTGTGTTCCCTCTCTCGCTGTCTCTCTGTCAAATAAATCAATAAAAAATCTTTAAAAAAAAAAAGGTTTTTAAGTTTTTTTAAAAGGCTGATAAGAGTTGTTTTTTTTTTTTTTAAAGAAAATTCTTATTCATTACTGCCTGGCCCTTTTATATCTGGTGACCTATTTTCCACTATTATATTACTTTCCTACTTTCCTAATTTAAATGTAGAGATTTTTAAGTAAATAGATTCTCAGTGATAGCCATTTAGAGCTTTCAACTTCATCCCTCATTTCTACAGTCTGATGATAGGTATCAGGCCACCAATTTGTTAATGCCTTTTTGGAATCCAGTCCAGAAAAATATCTGGCTATAATATCTTATGCTATCCTTACCACCATTCTATCATGTTTCTAACGGAAGTTATCAATCTTAAAATCCCACTATACCTTCTCCTAAATAAAATTTAAGCAAAGGTTCAATATTCTTCCCATAGGATCATCAGAATTGAGTAGACAATGTTGTCATTCTATCCAAATCATTTTTCTTTTTTTCAATTCAAGGTCTCTATTTCCTCTACTTATCTATGCCTGACTTGCTCTAGTGGTCCTCCCATTAACCTACCTACCAACGTAATTCAAGAAGTCACTCTATAATATATAGGACTTTCTACTCTATTTCTGTATTTGTTTACTGAACAATAACCTATCCATTAAGCATTCAAAGGGTAGGAATGGTTTCTACAATACAATTGCCAGCTACATGTAAAATACCTCATCAAAGTATAGAGAAATTTGCTTAACTGGTTTCTATTTCACCAGCTTACTGGAGTAAGTGATGTTCTCCATTCCCATGGTATAATAAAGTTGAACTCATAAGCTTATAGACTACACTTTTTAGGAAACTCTCACATGATTGCAGACTCCTCCCCAGGTTTGTGTGCATAACTAACAAAGGTCAATAGTGTTCTCCAGCTTACTTAGGCCAGTTGCACTAGGTACTACCATTACATAATTTAATTAAATATTACATAAACCAATGAAATACAAACACATAATGCAAAAGGTGTACACAAATTAGGTGGAATGCTTTGGAAAGATTAAGTAAAAACTGTCAAATTAGAGTCAGGTAAGATGACTGAAGGCTGGAGAAAAAAATCATGAAGAAAGCATAGGATTCTACAAATTACTGCTTAAATGTCTAAAAGCATATTCTACTCTCAAAAAAACTTGAGACTGAAATGTGCAGACCATACATTACAGGAGTGGTTTGAGGAAGAAAAATGATAAAGAATTCCAATCAGAGAACCCAATCCCAGAGAAAAGATTGGAACAATTAACAAGTTAATACAGATTAACATGTTTAAGTTTTAAAAAAAACCGTTCAGTGTCATTTATGATTTCCTACCATGACTCACTTTTTCATCAACCAACTAGATAAAAGGGCTTCTACTATACACACATGAGAGCAGACTGATTTTCCCCCAAAGAAACATTTTAAGCACACTTGAGAGCATTAGAGCAGAGGGTAATATAGCATTAAGGAAAAGTAATAGGGCATTAAGCTGGCTTTGAATCCCTGCCCCAAAGTTATTTCCCCTATAACCTTGAGCAACTTAACAAAATCTCACTTTCCTCATCTAAAAATGAGGTATTAAAATTAAACGTACCTCACAGGGCTTTGAGGATTATACAATTCATGTAATTTAGCATGGTGCCTAGCACATGATAAGTGTTCAGTTAAGTAGCATGTGTATTGCCAGCAAAAGATATGCCTATTCTCAGCTGTTCCTTTAAAAAGTATCAATTTCAAGATTGAGTAATTTAAGCCCCAACTCAAAGATAATAGAACACTAGAAGTAATGCAGCACTAGGCAGAATACTACATTACTTCTAAGTGATCTTAACCAAGGGGTCTATCAGAATGCCTTAAAGAGTTTTTGTCAAATTCAGAAGCCAGGCTCTATCACAATTTAATCAGGCTCTCCAGGGCTCTTTATATATGAAATATATATGAAAAGTTCCCCAAGTGGCTCTGATGTGAATCACGGATGAAGAACTGCTGTAAGATGATAAACTATTGATGCTTTAATAAAAAATTACCCAATTAGTACTTAATCAAATGTTAAAATATCACAAAAAAGACTTGGGCAGATTAATGTAGGAGTTAGCCAAATAACCAAAATGCATCTGATGGAATTAGTATTTATGGAAACTACTTTATAAGCAAGAGATCCCAATCTTTGCAGGTTTTTCCTATGCAAATTATATAGATCTGCAATTTTAAATCAAAACCATGTCCCCTCCCCACATGCATCACTCATACTGAAATAAGCTTTTCTTGTATTAAAGTGAACTATAAGACATACCTCATGAGCATACCTCATACCTCAACTTTGTCTTCACATGTTTAGCTTGGACACACATCTTTAATGTGTGTCTTTTTTTTTTTTTTCTTTTTAAGATTTTGACAGAGACACAGCGAGAGAGGGAACACAAGCAGGGGGAGTGGGAGAGGGAGAAGCAGGCCCCCCATGGAGCAGGGAGCCCGATGCAGGGCTCGATCCCAGGACCCTGGGACTATGACCTGAGCCGAAGGCAGACGCTCAATGACTGAGCTACCCAGGCGCCCCAGGGTTTCTTTCTTTTTTTTTAAGTAAACTCTATGCCCAATGTGGGGCTCAAACTCATGATCCTGAGATCAAGAGCTGCCTGCTACCAACTGAGCCAGCCAGGTGCCCCCAAAACAGGGTTTCTCCAACCTTAGCACTGACTGATATTTTGAACTGGATAATTCTTGTGGATGGGTGGGGAATGCAGGTTGTCCTGTGTATTGTAAAATATTTAGCAGCATTCCTGGTCATTACCCACTAGATGCCAGTAGAACTCCACCTTACTTCACTAGTGACACCCAAAATGTTTCTACACATTGCCAAATGTCCTCTGGAGTGAGAGGGCAGTCATTCCCCACTAAGAACCGCTTCTCTTAATATTCTTCCTGCCTGGCTTTCTTCAGACAGTTTTCTTTTTTCTGAGCTAATGAGTTATCTTAATTTTTTCATACAGGACAAAGTAAGCAGACCCCAAAAAAAGGACTGGCTGGTGTTTTTTATTGCCAAAAGAAGCAATAAAGATGTGAACTCGCATCGTACTTCTCACGTAGCTATCAGCAACATATTCAGAACTGGGTTTGAATGCCATTCAAGCACTTACCAGCAGTGTGGTCTTTAACAAGTCACTTTACCTCTCCAAATGTTTCATCTGCAAAATGGGAATAACAATATCTACTTTGTAGAGTTGCTATATTAAAGATAATTTAAGGAAAATAGTACTTATGCCTGATACATAGAATTGCAATAAAAGACAGCTATTATTATATTACTACCATAAAGGTTTATAGCAATGAAGGATATTGCACACCCTCCACAATGCTTATATCAATACTACAACTTCATTGTTCATTAGAGTCACCTGTGATGTTAAAAACTGAAAATGCGCAGATCCCACCCTTCAAGAGGTCCAAGAAAAACTGGCTGAGATTTTTTTTTAGGTTGAACTTGACTCTGGTGTATATTCATGCTGTTGTAAAATTCTGCAGCATTCTAAGACCCAAGAACGAAGCAATTCATGAAAATAACTGAACCATATAAAATATTTGTCATGTAAAACAAAAACTACTTTCAAATAATGACGTTTTAACAGTTTATTTTGAAGGTCATTTTAAAAACAAAGTTAAAGACAATCTGAGAAAAAATTGCACAGAATACACTCATTAAATAAGTATGGTGATTTAATCAAAATAAGGGATATATGTTTTCTTCTGTAATTCTGGAAATAAGTTCTGTTGTCCTGAAGGTTCTTATACTTCCAAAAAGGGGGGAGGGGAAATCATGGCCATTAAAGCTGCCTCTTGATCATGTAAATCTACAGTAGAAACCAAATTTTTCTGTTCTTCCCAATAAGTCAGTTTCGATCTTCAAATTGTGCCTTGTTTTTTAAAAGATATGATGCTAGAAATTCAATGGGATTTGGTGGTCTGTAAGGGAAAAGAAATCCAAAATTTAGAAATTTATATTCTAAGTGTATTAACTTAAATGTATTGCTCCATAACAAAAACACATCTTTTTCAGCTTAATTTTCATTTTACACTCAAAGGCCATTTGTTGTAAATACGGTAAGTAAAACAGGCAAGTAAGTTAGTCAACAACATAGTTAAAAGAGACTGAAAGTTTTGTATGGCTTAAATCTGGTTATGAACACAATTCTAAAACACAAGTTTCAAAAAATGTAATTTTTGACAATGGGATGACGATTACCCAGAGGGGATAATGACTTAAAGGGGTCATGAGGGAGAATTCTGGAGTCCTGACAGTATTCAGTTTCTTGATCTGAGTGCAAGTTATGTGGATATGTCTAGATTCTGAAAATTCATCAAACCATACACCTATGATATGCACAATTTTTTCCACAGGTATTACCCTTCAATACAAGTATAAAAACAATATGGGAAAATGGCTGTAGCATCACTGAGAGAAGTGGATCAACTCCCGAAAAACTAATCAAAGGATTCAATATTCATTTGGACAAGTAAGTACTGGTATGTTTCTTTTTAAAAAGGCACCTCTAGGGATGCCTGGGTAGCTCGTTCGGTTAAGCGTCTGCCTTTGGCTCAGGTCATGATCCCAGGGTATTGGGATCAAATCCCACATTGGGCTCCTTGCTCAGCAGGGAGCCTGCTTCTCCCTCTGCCTGCTGCTCCCCCTGCTTGTGCCCTGTCTCTCTTTCTCTCTCTGACAAGTAAATAAAACCTTTAAAAAAGAGGAAAAAAAAGGTACCTCTATTTTACTTCAAATACTTAAATCACTAATAGTTCTAATACTGCTACCACACAGTGCAACTGAGAAGTTAAACATATTTTGAAATCAAGAGGTGGTAAGGGCATCTGGGTGGCTCATTCGGTTAAGCATCTGCCTTTGGCTCAGGTCATGATCCCAGGGTCCTGGGTCTCTGGTTAACAGAAGCCTGCTTCTCCCTCTCCCTCTGCCTACTGCTCTGCCTACTTGTGCTTTCTCTCTCTCTCTCTGTCAAATAAATAAATAAAATCTTTAAAAAAAATTAAGTGGTGGGAGAATGGGGAATTGGAAGAAGGTGGTCAAAAGGAACACACTTCCAGTTACAAGATGAATAAGCACCAGGGCTATGATGTACGATAAAGTGACCACAGCTAACACTGCTGTGTGACAGTAAAGTTGTTGAGGCGAGGACCTAAGAGGTCTCATCACAAGGAGAATTTCTTATTTCTTTTTTCCTTTTTATTGCATCTGTGTGAGATGATGGATGTTAACTAAACCCACTGTGGTTATCATTTCACAATATATGTAAATCAAACCACTATGCTATAATGCCTTAGGCTTATACAGTGATATATGTCAATTATTTCTCAATAAAACTAGGAAAAAATGTTAACAAAAGATATAGTCATATTTATCACTTTTCCATAAATTTTTCTTGCTGAGAAAACAAGTCGAAAGATGAAAAGTTGGGGGAATCAGCTATTTAAAATCCTACTATGAAAAGGCATATTTAGAATTAATTTACAATGATCTCAAAACATTCCCTTAGCGTTTAAACAGTCTTTTGAACCGCCTAGACATAAACAATTTTTCACATATTTATGATTAATTTCATGAATAATTTTGCCAGAATTCCTTACTTAAAAAGTGTCTTTACTAATAGCATGTTACTTTAAAACTTCAAATTTTTCCTTCTAGCATTTAAAGCAATATTCATAATTTCCCTATATTGACCTCTGTAAAGAACAAAAAAATATATAAAAGATGCCCATATTTTAGGGGCGCCTGGGTGGCTCAGTCGTTAAGCGTCTGCCTTCGGCTCAGGTCATGATCGCAGGGTCCTGGGATCGAGCCCCGCATCGGGCTCCCCGCTCAGCGGGAAGCCTGCTTCTCCCTCTCCCACTCCCCCCGCTTGTGTTCCCTCTCTCACTGTCTGTCTCTCTCTCTCTCTGTTAAAAAATAAATAAAATCTTTAAAAAAAAAAAAAAAGATGCCCATATTTTAATTGACAGTATTAGAGCCAAGACATATCCTGCAGTCATAAAAAATTCTATTTTATACACATAACCAACATTTTTCTTATTGGATTTGCTTATACAAAAAGAACTTAGGTAGAATTATGAGGAAAAAACATGTACAGAAAAAAACTGTAATGCTGCTAACAAAGAAATACAAATCAAAAGAGCTTGGCAAGAAAAGTTTATAATAATACTCATGCTGTTGATATTATGATAGTGGAAGAAATTTAAGGATAAACTTTTGGACAGAAAAGTGTTTTTATGTGTCAAACACTATAATAGTCATGTTCCTCAAACTAGCAAATCAACTCTTGGAAATTCATCATAAGTAATTAAAGGGGTGCCTGGGTGGCTCAGTCGTTAAGCGTCTGTCTTCGGCTCAGGTCATGATCCCAGGGTCCTGGGATCAAGCCCCACATCGGGATCCCTGCTCCGTGGGGAGCCTGCTTCTCCCTCTCCCACTCCCCCTGCAGTGTTCCCTCTCTCGCTGTCATATTAATAAATAAGATCTTTAAAAAAAAGTAATTAAACAAAGGCAAAAGAGGCATGAAAACATATAAATTGCCTGCTAACCTAGATTAACAAAGGAAATTGGACCTAAGAGTTCAACAATGAGAAAATGGCTAAATTAATTGCAGTACTGTTATAATTAAATTATAATCACAAAGGCTATACAGAGATACAGAAAAAGTTTTATGTTATAATATTAAGTACAAAGGACATATAAAATTACATGTATACCATGATTACAAAGCTTTACAAATATGCAGATGATCTAACACTAGAAGAGATAAATGAAAGTGTCTGAATTGATGATATGGCTGACTTCTTTTTCTTAAACTCTAATATCCATAAATTTCTTATATTTTATAAATAAAACAACTAATGATATTCCTTTTTTTTTTTTAAACTAGTGATATTTCAATTAGGGAAGTCTTTATTTAGCTTTCTTTGGTAACTCCATTTGCAGACACCATTATCTTACCTTTCTTTTGCAAGCACAGCAAGTCCCTGTAATAAAATAGGCACAACTGTCTGATCCAGGTAGGCACGAGTTGGCAAAGACTGGAGATCCACTTTCTGTTTTGATGACTTTTCTGCATTCATCTTCTCATTGTCTACTATCCTCTAGTAGATTCAAAAAACATGCATGTGTATTACAAATAACTAGATTATTTTGAGTGCTAAACAAAAATTAATGGAAATATGACACTAATAGAAAAGACAAATCAATGATTAGAGAGCTGATATTGAACAGCAAATCTCTCTGCCAAAATAAAATCAGACCCATCTCTAAATTCCATTTAAACTTTTTCTCTCTGAAGGCAACATAGTATCTCATTCTTTTATTTACTTATTTTAATTAAGTAGGCTCCACACCCAATGTGGGGCTTGAACTCAGGAGCCTGAGATCAAGCACTACATACTCTACGGACTGAGTAAACCACACACGCCAGTATCTCCCGATCCTACTCTTTCTCCTTTTCCTTCTGCCTTTGTAGGAGTGAATACAAGTGCTTTCTCTTTTTTTCATAAGAATACCTTCTTACACTATGCTTCAAAATATCTGGACAGGACACTAAGTAGCACTGAATCACACTGAGAAAGCTAGACCTGTTTCAATTCTTTCATCACAGTATCAAGGACAAAGACTCACTTTGGTACTAATAGGTTTGTAACACTTCTGTAACATTTGCTAAACTCTCTTCTTAACGGAGAGCAGGCTTCAGGCTCAGAGCTTTCCAATGGCAATAGAATATAGCTAAAATTTATTACCACCATTTTGTATTCACTGTTTTCATTTTTATGGTTATCCTTTATCAAAATGAGAATGCTTTTCCCTTTGTTTCTTTTTTAAAGAAATGCATTTGTGATTTTTAAAAGTAAACAGAATCAAGAAAAAATATTAAGTAAACGATGGCCAAAAAATGGGGGAAATTACTAATATGGAAAAGATCATTAATGTGATATTTAAATGATGTTTAAGAAACAACTTATACTTTCTACTCCTAAGAACCCCCAAATTTTAGGTCTTTGACATAGATTCATCTAACATTCAGAGCCATCAAACACTGCTTTATTGAAAAACTTTGCACTCTTTTACAAATCAACCATTTTAGAAACTTAGAAATAAGTGCCTATCTAAAAGGCAAAACATTATTAAGAACATTTTCATTTAAATGAACTTTTGGGGGCGCCTGGGTGGCTCAGCCGGCTAAGTGACTAAGCGTCTGCCTTCAGCTCAGGTCATGGTCCTAGGGTCCTGGGATTGAGCCCCACATCGGGCTCCCCGCTCAACAGGGAGTCTGCTTCTCCCTCTCTCTGTAACCCTCCCCCTGCTTGTGCTCCCTCACTTTCTCTCTCTCTCAAAAAAATAAATTTTTAAAAATAAAATAAAATAAATGAACTTTCAGGGTGCCTGGCTCGCTCAGCTGGTGGAGCATGCAACTCTTGATCTAGGGGTTGTGGGTTCGAGCCCCACACTGGGTGAAGAGATTACTTAAAAATAAAATCACCAAAAAAAAACCCGAACTTTAACTTCAATCATACTCAAACTGGATATAAATGAGTCAACAACAACAAATAAACATCTGCTAGACTTAATATTTTAGACAATTTTATTTTGTAAAAAGTGATAAAAAAAACTTTAATCATATATCTAAAATGTGTGTGTGTGTATATATGTATACACACACACACACACACACACCCCGTGGTTTCCAAAGATAGTTCCCACAACTATGTCTGCCAACTACTCTAAGTTCGCTCATTTTCCATCTTATTTTGAGACAAGACAACAATGCTCTATACTTAACTAATGGTAAAATAGTTATTTACTTGCTCATGGATTAAGAAATTTATTGCTCCTTGGTAAATTTCAACAGATAATACCCATATATGACAAAAACTAGTCAGTTACATGACATTCCAAAGCCTTCAATAAGAAACAGCAACACCTGAACAACTCCTATAGATCTTATAATAAACCCCTTGACCAAATCCTATCATTTTTTATTCAAATATTGAATGAATATCTACTATGTGCCAACTTCCATGCTTAAGCCCAAATCCTGAATTAATCTAAAAAAATATATATCTAAATTACCCCCCCGAAAGGTACAAGGTGTTAATGGTATACAACAATGACCACAAAAAATGGGGAAAAAATAAGGGGAGCTCTAGGATTGTCCCAGTTTACTGCTTCCTGCCTAGAAAACTTATAGGAGGCAATGCAGAGAGAAAAGCAGAGCCCAGCAAACTCCCTCAGCTGAGAAGCCAGACTTGAAACTTCAGGGTGACCAAGACAACTAGAATTTGCAGGACAGAGTACTGCAGAGTGCATGGAGAGGAGAGAGATGTGCAGAAAGAGACTAAAGAGATCAGTGCATACATAACAGTAAACTACCCAAGGCCAAGGAAAAAAACACCTGGAATGAGCAGGAGACATAATCCCTGCAGCTCATACAAGGCCAGGAATAGTTCATGTTCCTGTGACCCAAAATTGGAAAACTGGGTAATACATGGAGCACTGGGGAAGATGAAAGAGGAGGATATCAGGCCTAAATTAAAGGCTGGTCTTATTCTGCCTAACAAAGCTTAAAGCAAACCTCAAAAGAATCAAATTGTTTCTCAGTAACTTAAGTGTGTCCTAGAACAAAGCTCAAGAATGTTTGAAGCGGGGGGTGCCTGGCTGACTCGGTTGGTTGAGCGACTGCCTTACGGCTCAGGTCATGATCCTGGAGTCCCAGGATGGCGTCCCGAGTCAGGCTCCCTGCTCAGTGGGGAGTCTGCTTCTCCCTCTGACCCTCCCCCCTTCTCGTGCTCTCTCTCTCTCTCTCTCAAATAGAAAAAAAAAAATCTTAAAAAAAAAAAAAAGAATGTTTGAAGGAATACAAATACCCAACAAGGGTATTGGACAAGGGAAGGAATACAGTACCCAACAAGGTAAAATGCACAATGCCCAGCCTCCAAAAAGAAATCATCATGCAGGCAAAGAAGCAGGATATACTACCCACAATGAGGAAAATATTCAATTCACAGAAATAGACCCAGAAATGATACAGACGATAGAACAGGCAATGCCATTAACCAGTTTTGTTTTGTTTTTTCAGATTTTATTTATTTATTTGCTAGAGAGAGAGAGCATGGACGAGAGAGAGTAAGCAAGAGCACAAGCAGGGGGAGCTGCAGGCAGAGGGAGAAGCAGGCTCCCTTGCTGAACAAGGAGCCCCACGCGGGACTCGATCCCAGAGCCCTGGGATCATGACCTGAGCCAAAGGGAGCTGCTTAACTGACTGAGCCACCCAGGCGTACCCATTAACCAGTTATTATAACATCTCCCACACCTTCAAGAAGGGAGAGGAAAACATAAGTAAATCAAGCTTACAGAGTACTTAAAAATATTTGAAGAAATAATGGCTAAAATTTTTCCAAATTTCATGAAAATTCTAAACCCACAGATCCAAGAAACTTGATGAATCCTAAGCACAAGATGCATATTTTTTTAAAAAAACTACACGAAGACATACCATATTCGAATTATTTAAAAGCTGTAATAAAATCGTAAAAGCACCAAAAGAAGACACATTAAGTATGAAGAAGCAAAGAAAGAAGTGATTGCAGATTTCCTGTCAGAAAGAGTGTCAGCCAAAAAGACAGTGGAGCAAATCTATACCCAGCAAAAGTATCTCAGGAATAAAGAAAAAAAAAAAAAAGAATAAGGGGGCGCCTGGGTGGCTCAGTTGGTTAAGCAACTGCCTTCAGCTCCAGCCATGATCCCAGAATCCTGGGATCGAGTCCCACATTGGGCTCCCAGCTCAGCGGGGAGCCTGCTTCTCCCTCTGACCCTCTCCCCTCTCATGCTGTTTCTCTCTCTCTCTCAAATAAATAAAATCTTAAAAAAAAAAAAGAATAAGGACAAAATGATGACTTTTTCAGACATTCAGAAGCTTGAAGAATTCCTTACCAGCAGACCTATACTACAAAAAATGTTAAAAGAAGCCCTTAAGGCAGAAGGAAATCTGGATCTATACAAAACAATGAAGAGTCAAGGGGCACCTGGGTGGCTCAGTCAGTTAAGCATCTGCCTTCGGCTCCGGTCATGATCCTGGGGTCCCAGGATCAAGCCCCACATTGAGCTCCCTGCTCAGCAGAGAGCCTGCTTCTCCCTCTCCCTCTGCTGCTCCCCCTGCTTGTTAGCGCATGATCTTGCTCTCGCTCTGTCAAATAAATAAAATCTTAAAAAAAAAAAAAAGAATGAAGAGTCAAGATGGCAAATATGGTAAATGGTACATATGTGGGTAAATGTGAAATATTCCTTTCTCTTATTGTTTAAATCTCTTTAAAGATAATTAACCTTTTAAAGAAAAAATAAAAATAATGAATTACAGAATTTATAACATAAGTAGAAGTAAAATATGTAACAACAGTACAAAGTCCAGTTGAGAGAAAATAGGAGAATACTGTTGTAAGGTTTGGTGGTTTTTGTTTTTGTTTTTTTTTTTAAGATTTATTTATTTATTTATTTTAAGAGAGAGAACAAGCAGGGGGAAGGGCAGAGGAAGAGAATCTTTCAAGCAGACTCCCTGCTGAACAAGGAGCCTGACCAGGGGCTGGATCCCACAATCCAAGAGATCATGACCTAAGCTGAAACCAAGAGTCCGACACTCAACCGACTGAGCCACCCTCAACCGAATGAGCCACCCAGGTGCCCTTGTTGTACGGTTTTTATACTATACACAAAAACAAATAATACCACTTGAAGGTAAATTGTGAAGTTAAACTTGCATGCTATAAACCGTAAAGCAAGCACCTAAAAAGAAATTATAACTTATAAACCAATAAAGGAAATAAAACAGAAGAGAAAAAGTATCATCTACAGAGTAGTAGTTTTCAGACTTTCAAATACCACAACAAATTAAAAATTACACAATGAACAAAGGGACTAACATAGGGATGTTAACTCTATTTTGCCAAGTAAAAACTTACAAATAAACTATTATTTTACTACAACCATTAATTCACAAAGAATGGGCATTTTAAAATTATAGAAGCAGGAAGACCAATCACCAAATAATGTATCATTATCAAACACTCCCTCCACTCTCATTTTTTTCTCACTTTACCATGGAAATTGGTCTGAGGACTTGAGAGAAAGCCTTTGGGAATCACTGTTCTAATGTATTATGACTCTGCATTCATATACAAGCACCATCAGACTGCTGATGGGGCGCCTGGGTGGCTCAGTCGTTAGGCTGGATCAAGCCCCAAGTCGAGCTCCCGTGAGCTCCCTGCTTGGTGGGAAGCCTGCTTTTCCCTCTCCCACCCCCCTTGCCTATGTTCCCTCTCTCACTGTCTCACCCTCTGTCAAATAAATAAAATCTTTAAAAAATAAAAATAAATAAAAAAGAAAAAAAAAGACTGCTGATGTCTATAAAGAAGTTTCTTAAATAAATAGAACACAAAGTGGTGTAGAGGATCTTCACCAGGTTCAATTAAAGACTACATTATGAAAATAAGTTCTCTTCTTAATACAGGTATCGAACCCAGAAACATTCCTAGCAATTTCATAAGGCACAGAGTGGTCATTCCACATGCCAGGTAACTGAAGATCATCAACACAATTTAAATGTACCACAGAAATGTCAACCTGCCTGGGTTTAACACACAACCCTCCACTTACTTCCTGATGACCTTACACAAGTTACTCAATTTCTCCGAGCTTTACAGGACTGAAGAGACCTGCAAATTACTTAGCAGTGTACCTGGCACACAGTAAAAGTAAGAAATACTAGCAGCTGTTACTATTATTACTCTCCTTGGAAATACTCCTTCCCACATTTATCTAAGTTTAATCACTGGCAATGTCTTCCCCCTTGTCCCCCAATAAAACACACACATCTCCCAGAAACCTCTATTTTCCTAACATATCCCACCCAGTTTTGGCTAATTCATTTGTCCTAGCATTTATTCATTCATTTACAAAACAACTTCTACTTTTAAACAACCTCCTAGCACTTATATGAAAAAGCTCTAAGAAAATATATCTTCTTTTGTATGTCTTTCACATGTATTCTTTAAATTCAGACTTAACTGTGTAAGGCAAAAACAATGTCTATTACGGGTGTTATAGCTTCCAATGGCATCTACTACTGAACGCAAAATCAACATTTATTAAATGTTGACTCCAACAGCACACTATTCTGTTACAAAGACAATGGGTGTAATTTTAATGTGCAGTTTTTCCAAAACATATCCCAACAGATTCATTAATACCCCACCAAGCAAAACGACTGTCTCCATTAGTAATGCATGTTTGTTTCTTTCTAGCACTTTCAGAAGTTCAATCTCTTGACTCAGAACTAATTTGAACGTCTGTATACCAAGAAGTGTTAGTACCGCTAATAAAACAAGCTACCCATAATTTGATACTATTTAGTTCATGCTGATACAAGTTTTCCCTTGTGCAAAGCAACCTAGTAAAAATGGATCCCAAGTTTTCTCCAGCTCATAAGAGATGCTCAGATACGCATAAGAACCGGGAGAATTACCTCGACATTGTCTGTGAGACCGTACTCAGAGTGAGGGTTTTCTGCAACCTAGAAAACAAAACACAGGTCACTGAGACGTGAGCCACCCCTTCTTCCTACACACCGCCACCCTGAAGCCAGGGCCTCCTGGTACCTGCGTCTGTCCCTCCAGCATCTGCTCTGGCTCCATGGCGGACCCTGCAAGTCACAATCCCCGGAAACCAGTCTTGGAAAACAAGAAGAACCGTGAGTTACCCGGCAGATTTCAACATGAAGATGCCAGGATGGAGTCCACCCCAGCCCCCGACCCCGCCCCTCACCCCCACCTGGGCGCGGGAGCACCCGGAGCAGTAGAGGAGCAAGGTAGGACAGTCCAAGACAGGGCGCCCGCATCAGGTCCGGAAGCTCCGCAGTTGTCCCAAGAACCTAGAAGAGGTGGTAAAAGGGGGAAAGGGAGCTGATTACCCGCGCCCAAGCCGCTGGTTCTTAAGAGCCCTGCACCGCGCCACCAACTCCCAGCACAAACCGCTTCGGCCGTAAGTGACGGATGTCGCACAACTGCCGCGCCTGCGCAGAACTCCTCAGTGGGTCGGGGGCGGGGGGGGATCGGGACCCTGTTCTGACTCTACGTTACCCTGTGCGGTCAACAGAGTGTCCTGGCCGAAACCTGGCCCCGAAGGTTGTGGGTGACTAGTTCTTCAACCTGCCTACTCAAGGCAAGCGCCACCCCAACTGCAGACACAGTGACCACCGCAGCTGGCAGGGCTTCGGCCGGCGCAGCCCTCAGTGCTGCCTGAAACCTCCTGCGGAGCGCGGAAGCGAAATCATCCATTTCGCTGGGTGATTCTTAACAAAAAAAACAAACCTAATCTAAGCAATCTACGAAAGAATGTCAGTGTTTTACTCTAAAAAGGTGGGGGAAGAAGCAATGTTGGGGATTTCATGGTAAGCTTTGATCATTCTTTAAATCTGTGAATATGCGATGTTAATGCTACCTTACATTTGTATCAATGTTAGCAAAAAGCAACTGGCTTTCCAAAGTGTGATACTGTTGATACTATTGTATTTGTAAAAAACACAAAAGATAATTTGCCTCCTACATACTAGTCGTAAATAGCAAACAGAATTGTTCTAATTACAATAAATTTCATTTATTTTAATGTAAACACAGGCGATACACTCATTAAAGTCCCTACCTTTAATTCAATAATCCCATTTGTAGTAGCACTTTGTAATATGAAAATTTGAAAACTTCATATTAAATGTTTGGAGACTAAATATGTCATATCAATACAAGGGAATATAAGCTATTAAAAGTCATGAGTAGAAATACAGAAACATTTGTGATTATAACGTTAAGTTTTGAAAACGGTAGAATACAACTTCATTTTGCTACTCTGCAAAAACTGAGCAGATAAAGATCTAAAATAAATTTCTTGGGGCGCCTAGGTGGCTCAGGTCATGATCCTAGGGTCCTGGGATCAAGCCCCGCACCGCATCCAGCTCCCTGCTAAAGTGGAGAGCCTGCTTCTCTCTCTTCCACTCCTCCTGCTTGTGTTCCCTCTCTTGCTGTGTCTGTCTGTCAAATAAATAAATAAAACCTTTAAAAAATTTATTTAGGAACTAGACTTGTGGGTATGTTTTTAAAGTTTAATTTTGTAATGGATACTTGATTAGTACTGTAGTTGGTGACAGCTAACATGGCACTTTGAGGATTTTTCATGTAGGACTGATGGAAAGATGTGGATACATATGTACAAGATATAAAAATTGACTAGTACATTTATTAACTCAAGATTAAATGCTTTTCAGGAGTGGGAAATAACAGCAAATAAGTTTAGAGAATAGTTGGGGAAACAAGAATAGTTATGTGCATTGCTATATTATCATATATTCATACATTTCCCAATACATCATAGACACTCAAATATTTCCAAATTCCAGAAAGTAACTGAGAGCTGCTAATTTATATTTTCTAAGTACTAACAATTTCAGTAAAATGGGAAGCTAGACTGAGCTTCTTCAAGACAGGGACCTTGTCTTATTTAACTTAGTACTTCACACAGTGCCTAGTACATCATAAGATTCACAACATATATGGATTTGATTCATAATCAAAACAATATAGATATATATGCTGACACTACTAAAGGCTATATATAATTTTTGTGTGTGTCTGTGTAAGATACATACATATATGATTACCAAAGGGAGGAGCACAGAACAATTAACTACCAACCAGGTTTCTCTCAATCTAGAAAAGACTTATAAGAGTGGTTTACAAAAAAGCTTCACCAAATTTTTTACATTTACAACTTATTGAAAAATTCAGAGAACAAGCTATCACAGAAGGGAGATGGGAGGGGGAAAATGACAGCTAGAAATGATGTAAATGGATTAGCAAGAAAATGATAGGAAGTATAAAGTTAATTGAAGATACTGCAGAATGCTGAGTTCTTATATGAAATTAAAGATTCTGAAGAGGATGGGCCCTGGGAACGATGATTATGACAGAAATTTGCAATAATGTGTACTCTCTAGAGAGGGATAAATTGAAAGAATGAGAAGAACTCTCTTTCGGACTTGTCATTACCAAACTTGGTTCAGGACTCCTCTCATCTGCTTCTGTTATGTCTTTTTATTACAGCACTTACCTCATTCTGCCTTATATATTGTTTGCAGTTAAACACAGTTAGATTTTTTAGTTCTTGAAAGGCAAAAATCCTATATTAATCTTCATATTTGTTTCTTATATTCAATAAATATTTTTTCAAAAGAAGTGAATTTATAGGGAAGGCAAGCACTTGCACCAAAGCACTACTCTAAACTTCTGTCTTTCTTAGGGCTTCAGGGAGATAGTAGTTTATAGATTCTAGAACTAGAATTCTAGAAGCTAGAATAATAAAGAAAAATTACTCTGCTTGACCCCTTTTTTATAGACTTGGTGCAAATTACATTTATAAAACATTAACCTATTAGACAATACCTATTTAGGAACAATACAATATGTATAGTAAAGAAACACTTGATTTGGGGTTAGATGAGTATTAGAACCTGGTTCCTTCACTGTTTGCCATGTGGAAGTAAGCAAATAATTTAACCCTTCTGGGCTTCATGTTTTTTCACATATAGATTAGGATAACAATTCTTCATGAAGAGGATCAAATGAGATAAAATAGATGAAACTGCTTTGTGTGAAGCTATACAAAGATAAGTGAGACATTCTATTTTATCTGTTCCTAACTACTGCTTCATTATCATAATAATCTACCTTTTTTGTTCCTATTCTTTTTTCTTTTAATTAATTTGTGAGAAAGTGCTCAAATAAAGAACATGATTCGTCACACAGTCATACATACAAACACAAACGTCTTTGCAAAAGAAGACATAGAATTTATTGAGTGTAAATGGGCCCTCTGAGTGTGGGGAGGGACACCAGTCACCTCTGAAAAAGACCTAGAAATATATATTCCAGATTTGGTTAATCATTTTCCAAGGAAGTATCTTTTGGTGGCTGATATAACAACTACTTTACCCATAGTTCCCTTGTCTCCACTACCAAACCCCATGCCCAAGCACCCTTACCACTATCATCATCATCTCAGAAATGTTGGTATACCAAAGAACATGCCAAATGGGCTTTTTATTTTTATGTTTAAAAAAAATTAATTCATTTAACAGAGAGAGACAGCGAGAGCGGGAACACAAGCAGGGGGAGTGGGAGAGGGAGAAGCAGGCTTCCCGTGAAGCAGGGAGCCCGATGCGGGACTCAGTCCCAGGACCCCAGGACCACGACCAGAGCCAAAGGCACACGCTTAACGACTGAGCCACCCAGGTGGCTCTCATTAGCAATGAGAGTAATAAAAAACCTAAACTTATTACAATTCCAATCCCTAAATTGTCCCTTATTTCTTCCATTTCTCATAAGAGGTTGGTTATATTTAGATTTTTTTCAAAATTTCCTAAATGATTTTCAGTTTCTAAAAGTGTTGATTTTAGGGGCACCTGGCTGGCTCATTGGAAGAGTGTGTGACTCTTGATCTTAGGGTCATGAGATTGAGCCCCACATTGGATGTAGAGATTACTTAAAATCTTTAAAGAAAAAAGTGTTGATTTTATGCTTTATGTTTTCTTTTTAGAAACCAAATAACTTAAATGTATGTTTATAAGTAGGTCATGGATAATAAGTAATAAGTATAATATATAACTTGGATATCTTTTATTTTTTTTAAGATTTATTTATTTGTTCCAGAGAGAGAGAGTACATGCATGAGCCAGAGGAGGGGCAGAGGGAGAAGGAGCTGAGTAGACTCCCAGCTGAGCAGGGAGCCAGACAGGAGGCTCAATCCCATGACCTCTGGATCAATGGACACTTAACCGACTGAGCCACCCAGGCACCCCGATATCTTTTAATTTTAAGATCCCCAGAGCCATTCCTGTTAATTTATGTTGAAACCATTTCTCTCTCTCTCTCTCCTTTTTTTTTTTTTTTTTTTTTGGTAATCTCTACACCCAACAAGGGGCTAGAACTCATGACCCCAAGATCGAGAATCACATACTCTACTGACTGAGCCAGCCAGACACCCTGAAACCTTTTCTCAAAGACAAATATCGGCACCAAAATAGAAATTGGTAGTTATGCCACCTAATTTTAATATCAGATTATTGTGTAAAGTGTTTTTCTTTATAGTATCATTATCAGAATGCATTGCTAATGTTTTCATATATGAGAGAGTGCAGAACAAAAACTGAATTAGAAGTCCAACTAGGTTCAGGTACCCTGTAAAGTGATTTACATATTCTCCCATATAAGACTGTAATCCTCTTGTAAGGTAGATATAATTATCCCCATAAAATAAGATGATAAAAATTGATTCAGAAAATTGTCAGGGCGCCTAGGTGGCTCAGTCAGTTAAGTGTCCGACTCTTGATCTCAGCTCTGGTCTTGATCTCAGGGTCGTGAGTTCAAGCCCCAGGTTAGACTCCACACTGGGCATAGAGCCTACTTAAAAAAAAAGAAAAGAAAATTGTAACATAATGTTACATACTTACATGGCTATTTGAAAAAAAAAATTTTTTTAAGATTTTATTTATTTGAGGGAGAGAGTGAGAGAACACAAGCCAGGGGGAGAGGCAGAGGGAGAAGCAGGCTCCCCACTGAGCAGGGAGCCTGACGTGGGGCTCAATCCCAGGACCTGGGATCATGACTTGAACCAAAGGCAGACGCTTAACCAACTGAGCCACCCAAGCACCCCAGGGCTAGATGAAATTTCAACCCAGATCCACCTAATTCCAAAGGTTGTGCTCCTGGCTATGCATAAATAGAGGACAAATATATCAGTTAGTGTGCTTTGGGATTCCAGTAACAAATCCCAACTCCAGTTTGTTAAACAACAGACTTTTTGAGTAACAACTGAAAATCCCAGTAGCAAAGTGGGTATCTAACAAGGTTTAGTTGTGGCTTTTATACTGTTTCTCTACAATTTTCTCACCTTCATCTCTGTATATCAGCTTCATTCTCAGACTGCTTTCTCATGG